CATAGACTTTCCAAGAGTTATAAGAATCTCCCATCACCTCCACTGTTTAGCTCATACATTCTTTCTTCGCCCCGAAGATTGTGGTTGCAGAATTTGTCACCAGAAAGTTAACGGGATCTACGACGCTTATATTTGTGCCAGCGGTGATGGTTACGTTGTCCACTTGAAAATTACGTTTCTACATATACACCCATTCCCTATTTGTACTGAGGATGAGACTGAAAGTTCAGGTGGTGGTCCTAATGGTCTTTCTCGCTGTGGTGCATGTGACCTATATTTCAATGGGTTTAGTAACCTTGCTGCCATCCCTCACCGTCTCTCTCTCCTCTGAACTCTCTTGTCTCGTTTCTCTCTTTGTCTCTTTCTCTGTCATGAACCCTCTCTCTATCTATTTCAAGTTTTTTTTTTGTGTCATGTTCTCTCTGTTTGTGTCTTGTTCTCTCTATGTCGTGAGGAAGAAGACATATGAATCTCTAAAAAGAGTACCAATTTGATTTTGATTAATGTTTTTTGAGTGGGATCTGTTTTTTTTCTGGGTCGGGTTGGATTCTTTTTAGTTGGGCAATCTATGTTTTCTAAACGCAATTTTTGTCCCTTTAAATCCGATTTCGAATTTGGATTAGAGAGGGGGATTAGAAAAGATTAGGAGGAGATGTAAAGAGAATTATAAGTTTGGGTGGGTTGGTCAAGAGCTAAATACTTTGGGGGAAAATAAGTAGGGTATGTATGTTTAGAGGTGGTTTTAGACAGTCAACCCTATATATATATATAAGCATGATTTTGCAAGTTTATGTAGTGTTTAAATTTTATAAATGATCTAAAATGACATCATTTTGATAAACGAACGGATGACTGACACATTTGACGGTTTATATATATAAGCACGATTTTGAGAGTTTGTGTTGTATTTTTATACTTTTGTTTAGTTCATTATGAAATATGCACTACTATAAAGTTCAGAAAGAAAAATGCACGATCTGTAAAGTTCATATAGTATTTTTAAGTTTTTTTTAGTTCAGTATGGAATACGCACTACAACAAAGTTCGAGAAAGAATATGCACGATTGCTAAAGTTCAGATTTAAAAAAAAAAGATTATTAATACTTATCATTTGAATATTTTTGGAATTATATTTTCTTTTTTAAATAAAATAATATGAAGTATAGTAAATTTTATTTTATATCATAATCTTGTCTAAAATATGTATGCTATGCTAAACTACTATTAAATTAATTATGTTTTATTTTGTTTTTAAATTACAGTCAAAATTCTACAAAAATAAAATCTTAAACCAATTATGTTGTTAAATTTGTTGGTATCTTCCTCAATTTCCCAGTTTGTATTCCGTTTCTTGTTCTTCTTTTGACTTTTACGTATTCACATTTTGCAGATTCATTTCCTTTTCTTTTGATATTAATTAATTTATATTTCTTCTCATAGCTAGCGATTTTTGTTTTGTTTTAGATCAAAGTGTTTTGTGTCCTAAATCATTGACTTTAATCTCTACTTTTTCATCAGTAACTAGTTAGCATTTTATAATTAATATCAACGTTTTGGTTAGACCTACATTGGGGTGAGTCAATGAGGAACTAACGACGAGTTACAGTCTTGTCTTTAAGGTGACGACTGAATGAAGACATGTTGCTATCAAAATTTGTAAAATTTGAAATGCTATACCGATTATAAAAAGTATACGAGAATACATGATTAATATGCAATACTTTGCTAAACATATTTTGTGAAGAAAAATATGTAGAATCAATAAACGAATAACAACAGACTTTTAAGTCATGACAAACTTTTATAAACTTATAACACCTTATTATAAATTCATAAGCCAATAATATCAGATTTTAATATACATTCTTGAAAAGTGATAATTGAATAACTCTAGAATCATTAGGAAATCTAAATCTATATAACTCTTTAAAAATACATAATCCAATAATGTCTTCCTTTCTAAAAGATATATGCTTTAAAATAAAAATTTAGTTTAAGAGATATATTTATAATTTAGTTTTTATCACTGATACTAGCAAATTATACACTTCAATAATTTAATTGTTCTACTACATTATTATTAGTTAAAATTTATAAGAAAAAATCATAAAATAGTTAATTATTTTACTGAATTATTATTAGTAAAAGTTATAAGAAAAAAATCTTAAAATAGTGTGTTTAATTATTATTTTTAAATCTCAATATATGTGAAATATGCGTGAAACACGGAATATACATTATAGGGAGAAAGAGGGTTCACCATAATATTTCTTCTCCAGACCTGGTTATTGAGACACCATCTCATCCATTTCACTCCGACGCCGGTAGAGCCATGGCTCGCCGGTGACATGCATTTCAACCTCCACCTAGTTGTCTCTGCTTTCTTCTTCGCTCAAGCTCAGACTCCTTCTACTTTCTTTTGTTGCTTCGCAGTTTCTTGGTTGGAGACTACTTCGACTAAGCGCTGTTCCGGGGGCTTCCAGCTTCTGTTTCTAATCCGTCTCTGCTAAGAGTTCTATTTGTGACTCTCAATCTCCATACCCCCTCAGGCTTCAAGACCCCCTCCAACAACCGCCTCCTATATCGCCACAAGTACAACCTCTATCTTCAATTTCAGAGTTTGAACACATGTGTTCATCTCCACATATAATTAAAATCTTGAGGATCTATTTGTTTGTGTGCGCCTTGTGTCTCCTTCATCACTGATGTGCTCAAATTACTCTAAGAGAAACTCTCTCAAATAAGATATCGATTGCAGTACTTAAG